TTGACTTTGTAATGGTGAATACTGTCATGTGTTTGTGTGATGTATGAGATCGAATTCTTTTCTCTTAGTGGCTTCATGGGCCAGGAAAGAGAAGTCTTCATTTCCTTCAAAAAGGGAGGACAAAATCAATCCGATGCTTTACTCTCTTTAAAAAATTTGAATTTCATGATGGTTTGTCCATAGAACCTGGAAGTCAGACATAAAGCAAAAGTTGCTAGTTGTGTAAGGCAAGAAAGGATGTGTTCTGGTTGATTTTACCTGTACTGTCTTTGAATCAGTCATACTGGATGGTTATACATTTCTTTTTTGGAACAACCATGCTGTTTCCAAGCACCACAGCCTGCCTTTTAATATCTTACTTCTGCTTCTTGTCTCTGTAAATTCTTGACAACCTCTGGCTGAATGAGGTCCATGACTATATGGCCAATGTCATTCTCCTGTAAGTTCAGAATAACTTCAGAATTATATGGCTTTACTGCATTAGTGCCAGACTTCATACCACTGTAACAAAGAAAAACTGAGTCCATAGTAAGCCCCACGACAAGATATCGGTAAGAGCAGCAATGTCTTTGTGATGCACTCCAGATCTTACCACTTGTCAGTCATAGCTGTCTTTCTCTTCGGGCACAATTGCATGGGACTGCATCCTCATATGCATTTACAATTTAAGCGTCCATATGTAGACCTTGATATTTGACTATGATTCATTCTAGTGATAAAAGCAAATAAAGCCTCATGAGGGAGAAAATCAAGGTGCTTGGGGTGTATAGCACAGCACTCCTCTCTCACAGGAGACGTCTCCTTATGTGATTCAGAGATCTGCAGGTGACACTAGAAAAACGATCTCCAGATAACCCACCTTTGGATGAAAATTAGGACCATATCTCTCCAATGTTATTGTTTTTTTCCATAGGCATTTACATAGCAGGAGACAGTAAGCCTGACATAAGACTAATTATGAAGTAGGAGCATTTGAGTGTGGAAATGTGATGTCATGCTCTTTTTAGAGGAATGGTATGAGTCTTGAACATGCTTGCAATTTTATTGCAAGTCCAACCATATTTGGGATTCTTCAAGTCTTGCTCTCAGGTAATTAGACAAAGACCTCACAATGTGTTTAAAAAGGAAAAGGTCCTCAGATTTTCTAGTCACAAAGAACATGCACTGATTCTGGAACAAATTTTTAAGCTCCGGGGGAAACACTTTTACACTTTTTCTTCTTTCTTTTTATTTTTTTAATCTTTTTAATGAAATTGCTAATCATGACGCATGAAGACATATGGACTTAGGAAGACTGTGTTGTGTAAGAAAAGATGGCATTTGCTTGGCCCATCATTGCAGTTATGGAATATGTCAACCTTCTTGGATGGCAACGCTACCACAAAAGGTCTCTTTATCTCCTCCTTAGGTTTTCTCACCCTGTCTTCTCAGCTCTCCCTTCCATTTGTCTGCAAAGAAAATTACAACAGGTCATCCTTAACAGACAACAATGAAGAAGCCTGCTGGATTTCTAACTGGCATGGCAGCCTAGTTTCTTTGCTGGCTATTTAGCAAGTTACTTCCCTTTCTCTGATTCAGTTTCTTCATCTGGAAAATGGCCTTCTTCCTAAAACACCTCTGAGTTCCACTGATTCACATTGATTCTCCGATTCACATTCTGTGATTCTGTGATTGCTGAAAAAGCTGAATATGAAGAGAGGAGCTGACATGTTAGAGAGGAAGGGCAGTCACTCTGGAGAGAAAAAACGGGGAAGCAGGGATTTCTTAAATGCGGCATTAGAAAAATAGAGTGAGCTACAAGCTAGGGAAGAAAGGAAGTTGAAAGCAAAGAAAATGGATGAATGTGAGAGATCAGTTTAATGTGGGGACATTTAGAGGATGGTAGCTAAGTAACAGAGGAATCTGTATTGATCAGCTCTGAGGCTAGAGAGGGTACATCCACACTGGTAGTTAATAATAAAGGAATCATAGGATCATAAGTCTGGAAGGGACACAAAAGACTCCAAGGCAGGATCAGCTGTATCTCTGTTATTTCTGGCACATGTTTCCATAATTTGTTTTGAAGACTTCCTTTGATGGAGACTCCACTTCCTCCCTAGACAATCTATCTCGGTGTTTTCCTTACCCTTAGAAAGTTCCTCTTAATGTCACATCTGAATCATCCTTCCTTTATTCTAAAACAGTTATTTATTCTTCTGGCCTCAGTGCATGTGAAGAAAAAATTTTTCTTTTCTTCTTTGTTGCAGTCTTGTATGCATTTCACCGCAGTTACAATTCATTCACTTTTTCTGTCAATTTTCTGAGTCTTTCCTCAAAATGTCAGCTTCTGGAATCTTTCCAGGTGATCCACATCTTCTTTGAAGTAGCAGGCTCAAAATTGGGCAAGGGATTTTCAAGCCTGTTCCCATGTTGAAACCTGTCTACCACCCTGTTTACTTCTGCACCAGAAGATGCTCAGATGGCATTTTGGGGTCAGCTTTTTAGAACAACATCTCGAATATATTGACGTCTTGCTTAGCTGGACCTGGGTTCTCATACCTATTGCTGTTTGAATAGACAAGAACCACAGAGCTCTATCCACCAGCAGGGTCCCCGGACAGTCTTCTCCTGTGCAAGCACTGGTTACTCACAATACATAACGAATATCTCTTCTACTGGAACTAGCCATGAAGGCAGAAAGCGAGTGTCACTTAGGACTGAAGGAATTCAAACCTCCTGGTGCCCTGCATGTTGACATGTGATAGGTCAGGGAGCACAGTCAACATATTTCATCCTTGAAGATGGATTTCTAGAAAAAAAACCTGTATCTTTCTTTCTTTCTTTCTTTCTTTCTTTCTTTCTTTCTTTCTTTCTTTCTTTCTTTCTTTCTTTCTCTTCCTTCCTTCCTTCCTTCCTTCCTTCCTTCCTTCCTTCCTTCCTTCCTTCCTTCCTGGACTTTGTGAACACTTTACAAGAAAAGAATTGCAGGAAGATATTATGGTACCTTCTACTTCTATGATGCTTATGCAGGACTGCACAGAACCCCCAAGAACAGGCATGTCCAGAGGAGACCGGTTCATCCATCCTGCTCATACATCCTTTCGTTTTTCCAGCCGCTGAATTGTAATGTTTAAAGTCATCAATACAAACCAAGTGCCATCCACACCAGCGTCTACTGAAGAGCAATATCTTACTTGCATTCACTGTGGCTTTAAAGTACCGCATGCTTCATGCTAGCAGGCTCTAACCACAAAGGACCAGTAAAAAAGCTCTTTCTGTCCAACGTGAATTAGGACACTCAGTTAAAAATTCATAGGAAGATTACATAAAACCATATGCTGCCTTTATTTTTCCCCTTTTGCATTAAAAATGCACAGCTGCTCTGCATTAGACATTCCATTAGCCTGTGAATATCACAATCTGGACTTTGTAGTTAACGATGGGAGGAGGACTAACAGTGAGGGGAGAATGGGGAGAATGAAAGTGTTTTAGGCACCATATTCAAGGCTTCCTTAAGAAAGGCAGCATATAAGGTGGATGGAGATTTAAAGTGTGGGAGTAGAAGGTCTGCTGAAGAGGAATTGCATATTAGAAGAGACCTGCTTTCGGAATTACTGTCTTGCCCTTAGAACCTCTGAGCAGAATCAGCAACAATTAAAATGATATAACCTGTTTCCTGTGGTCATTTGGGAAGAAAATAAAAAATCTATATTCCAAATGGACTCAGGAAATGTTTAGACTCCTCTAACAGTGTTAAGTCGCAGAGAGTTTTATGGCCACTCCGTTTCTTCTGCAGGAGACCCTTTAATTTAGCTGGAAGACTTGAAGGGTCCAGTTTTATTATTAGATAATTGACTGTGTTGGGCAGTTAATTGCCTGGGATTGAATATGTGGCCACTTAATGTACTGACAAAGTGAATCATTTTGCAATAATCTTTCTATACATTGTAATGAGATGCATTCCAAAGAGTTTACTTGATGATAGCATGTCAATAAGTGTCCTAGAGGGCTTTAGACACAAGCTTGTGAAGATGCTGCTAGGTATAGGTGTGTATGGTGTGATGACAAGCTCGGCACCAGTTAGGCCAGCTATAGAATATTAAAGTCTATTTATTCACACACACCGGGCCTGAATCTGTCTTCATTCATGGGGCAGAAGCAAAGAGGAACATTTGGAGCTTCTGGATCTGCCAGAAGTGATAGGTCTTATTTACACTGTGAACTCTGCTACATGTGTTCATTCCAGGTGGCATGTGTCATCCCCATATAAAAAAAAAACCTAAAAAACCAAAAAAACAAACCACAGCAGATAACCTAAACAGTATTTAAAATATCCCCAGCCGCCCAGCCAATAAGGAAAAGAAGTATTTTGTTCTTCACATATGAATTACAAAGGGGATGTTTAATTTCTAATATAGGCATATTTCAACATTTTTTTTCTTTTATGTTAAATGCAAAAAAAAGATATCACACCGGAGTCTATTCTCTCCCTACATGGTTGATCCCCAAAGAGCTGTCTTGTATTTTCTGCAGACGTTTTTTCTTCTTGGTCTTATCCAGTATTAAAAATCATATACATTGCACCTTCTTGGATTGATTATAGTTCTTCACACTTACGCAAGATGAGAAAACCGAATAATTTTGGGTTTTTTTGAGTCACAAATAAAATTTTAATACACATTACCGTGAAATGTGTGATGCAGTCACCATTGCTAAACTGCATGTTTAATTAACCATCGCCTGAGTGCAGGTACTAGGCAACAAGAACACAGGAGCACATTAAAGTGTCTTAATTAAATTATATGCAGTATGGCCATATTTAATTGTACACAGGACATGCTTTCTCCTTGTTTTTATTTCTACGTGTCTCTGTTTTCTACATCATCAAGTAGATGGAGTACTTTTGAGGTATTTTTTATTCAAAAGACAGAGTTTTTTCCCACATTTTGGGGGGTTGGATATAATTTATCACAGTGCTTTGTTTCTCGAAGCAGGCTGCAGGATGAACATACAGAGACAAGGAGAATCACAGTGAGCAGCATGAATGAATCCTTACTTCAGATCATCCCCTCTCAAAATTTACACTGCATATCATGCACCAAATACAGCTTTCTGCATTGTCGTCTTGGTCTGGGAGATCATTTTATACATGGATATATGTAATGCCTATGAACTTGTGGCTGATGACCAGTTCTTTTGTAGCTTCTTACAGTCTGATCAGTTTCTAACAGTTAAGCACATATTTTTTTAAATTAATAGTGCTGCAGTTGACCACTGAAATAAAGACAATGGATAAAACAGATATTAATAAAGTAGAAATGCCAAAGTTTGCCCTAATAATAGAGGAGAATAAAAAGAACTGATGTGGAAGGCTGAGACCTTGGTTACAGCCCATAGCAGATGTCACAGCCAGACATAATCTCTGCTCTCCTAGGGAGCACAGCTGATGTGCTGCAAAACCTGAAGCTACAAGAGCTGTGAAAAAGGACCTGCTTCTGCAGGTTTCAAGGAAGGATTTTGACCTTTCTGTCTTGGGAACACAGCTTTATGTGACTGTGAATCACTCTGAGAGAGCTGCTGTGTGGCAGAGAGGCACAGCGCAGCCGCCCTCCCTCAGGTCAGTGCATTGAAAGGGGGAAAAATGCTGATGGGAATTTTGGGTAAACTGAGGTGTTGCAGTAGTGCCCATTTCTGTCAGGCTTGAACTTGGGCACAGCCTTAAAACTGAGCCTAATGCAGCAGGATTTGGTAACATGGTTTTTGGCCAGATTTTCTCTGCGTGCTACCAAGATTGGTTCCTCCCAACTGGGTTACAGCTGTCTGCACCTCAGTCTTGCGTTTGTAGCAGCATCTTAGTCCCTCTGGAGCAACAGAAAAGATAAAATACCTACATTCTTGACTACAAATACAACCCTGAATGTTTCTCAGAGGGCTTCTTGGAAGCTCTTCCAGCAGAGTGGTCTTGGAAATACAATGAATTAGGCCTTCTCTGTGCTATCTCACCTCTCCCATGCTGGAGCTTGACTTGACAAATTATGGCTTGACTGGTCTTCAGAGGCAAGACACCCCCAGCAACACAAGGTAGGAGGACTCTCTTCACTGGTGACTTCACACACAACTATCTCCTAACTCATGATCCAGCCAGAAATGTGAGGGGCCAGGGAATGTGAAAGAGGACTGAACGGTGAGCAATGGATGCCTGCAGTAAAAGTGTTGGGATGCGAGCATGTGAGGTGGGGTGAGATCATCATTCTCAGTACGTGAGCTTTCATATGCTCCTGCGCTTCTCCTTGCACAGACTTTCTTACGCTTGGTTTCTGGAGAGTCGTGTTGACCTTTTAATCTTTGCAAGCACAGAAAATCTGAAGTAATAATTATGGTAATGGGAACTTCACCTACAGATGCATCAGTCTCTGTCATGGTCTCGAGATGTCAAAATGGGCAGGGATGATGTAAAAACTCCCCTGAAATTCTTCATCCTTAACAAAGCTTAAAGAAACCTAACATTCCACCAATTTTTTAAAAGGGTAAACAGAACAACCCAGGTAATTATAGCCTTGTCAGATTGACATTGATCCCAGGCAAAATAATGGAATGGCTGATGCAGGGCTCAAATAGTAAAGACATACAGGAGGGTAATGTAATTAATGCCAATCAATGTAGTTTTCTGAAAAAACCCTATATATCTTGTCAAATCATCCTGATGTCTTTTTTATGAGATTACAAGTTTGGTAGAGAAAGGTAATAGTTTTGATGTAATAGACTTAGACTTCTATAAGGCTTAACTTTGTGCTGCATGACATGTTGATTAAGAAACCAGGATGATACAAGCTCAAACCAGAACTCATTAAAAGGATAAAACTTGGCTAGATATTAGGTCTTAAAATGTGTTTTTGAATGGGAACATCAAACAAGGCTGTTTCTAGTGGGCCAAGCACACACGATTTGCTGATACTCTGCTGTCTGATACTTCTAGGAACAACATGGAAGAAGACATACTCATTACTGATAAAGTTATCAGACTTTACAGTTTGAGGGAGTGATAAATCATGAATAGGACTGATCACCGATACAGAACAATCTGGACTGCTTGACAGCAGAGTATGAGACAAAAGTAAAGTCAAATGGATAGGAACAAAGGCCACAGATTGATTCTATTTTCAGAGGCAGTGATTCAGAGTTATGTTTGAGGGGTCTTGGTTTATCAGTCACTGAACATTAGCACTTAAGTAATGTAGCTTTTGGGGGATCTTGAGTAAAACTAACTATCGCCTTGGTGTTTTGTGCTGATGAAACTGCTATCAGAATATCGCAGGTGATATTGGCAGGGATGTTAAAAAATTGAGACAGTTCAGGCAAAATTCCCAAGAATCATTAAGCAATTAGGAAACACACACATAGTAGAAGATTTCGGAATACTATAAATATGGTTTGAGTTATAGAAGTAGAAAGAGACTTGATTAGGTCCTTACATACACTTTTGCAGAAAATAAACATTGTGAATGGCTCTTCAATCTGTTTAAAAGAGTTGAGAAGATCTTGGTGCAGCCTGAACCTAGACAATCTCATCCTTGAAATTAAGCACCAGTTTTTCAGAGTTATATTTAATCCTGCAAATAACTGGGAATTTTAAAACTGAGATAGGATATCTTCTCTAAAAGATAGGATCTAGTTCAAAGTTGTTATGCAGTTTTTATCTATGATTGTCTGAGTATCTGTGTACAGCAATTCTGTGTATTCTTGACAGAGTCTGTGGCAAAAATCACATGGGCTTCACTAATGAAAGATCCGTGCCTTCCTATATATGTAATGTTAGCTCATCCCACTCCTCACACAGAGACTCCTTCTGTGGCCACCTATGCAGTAAAAATTCAGTGCATCCTGTTCTACTAGGGGAAAATATGACCTGTTCAAGAAGGTAGACCTTTGAAGTAGCTCGTTTTCCAGAAAGACTGGAAAATATAAAGCACTAAATAAAAGCACTGTTGGATGCTTTTTGCTCTGGGCTAGAGACTTGCCTTTGACTGCTGGAGCTTCATTTTAGCCTCTGGCAGCTCTCACTTTGGACCCTCCCTTATTCCCTCCTTTATGGTCCAACTTCTATCGCATTTGACCTGAACTCCAAGTCTGCTGACTGTACCGTAGAGAAAAGCAAGAGAACAAGAAGTGACCAGAGCTGGTGTCTATTGCCCACATTTCACAAAGGTTCCTTTAGCTCTCTACCAAAGGCTGCTCTTCAGAGGATACAAAGAGAGGAAACCCTAACTCCGCATAATGATGCCTACATCTAATGAATCAGTTAACTGCACATATGCTCCTACTAATATGGGCTTTTTTGGAGAAGATTGTGTCTCATATGATACCCCTAAACCCTGATACATTCCTGAGCTTCAGCAGAAAGGCTTTTAACCTAGTACCTAGAGAAAAGCAATCATGTGGCTGTTGGGAAAGAGCTTCAGAATGAGTTACATCCAGTATTTTTCTATAAGTGCATTCTTCCCATCCTTGATGCTTCTTTCTGGGAACCTCTGCCCTTACGTATGAATCTGAGTACAGTAATAATATTTAGCTCTCATGACATCAAGAGTTGCACACTTAATCTCCAAAGCACTTTCTGAGCACTAATTAAGTCTCTCCTTCCTGACATGTGGTAAGGATTTGCGATAGTTGTCTTCTCACTTAGCATACATAGAAAGTTTGTGATTTGCCAAGGGTCTTCTCAGTGTCAGAGACATAATTAGTATGTTGGGTTCCAGTTCACTGTCCTTTGCTCAGACCCTTTAATGTCTCAATAGTGTCATTTAGAAAATGAGCTTTGGAAGGAGCAAGTATCAAGGTAGTTACTGATGTTGAGAGATTGAAGTCAAGCTCTCCCTATGTCTGCTATGCATTTTGTCATCTCCTCACATTATCACTGGCTTTATTTTCCTAGTTCATATATCCCCCAAAGTATGTCTGGGCTTTGTCTAGGAGATTGCTTGTTATTATGGACCAAACCCAAACCAAAGAGGATGCTGAAATTAAACTATGTGGGCAGTCACGCTCAAGCTCTCAAGCCCAAACCCCATCGCTGTTTAATTTCGTTGAATAGTTGTAGCTTTTGTGTCTGACTTCACCATTTATTAACTTGGGGAATATTTTGGGTCCCATGTGATTTGATACCATAAGAAAATAAGGATCTTGGTACTAATTTAGCTGGGTGGTGGACGGAAGAAAGAATGTGCTTTTCTTTCTTTCTTTTTTCTCTGCATGTGCTCTTACAAACTGTGTTGCTCCTCCTTGGTGCCACAGTGCTTTCCCCTTGTATGACTTTGAGGCTGGATAGCAGCAGTCTGCATGATACTATCAAAACCCATGGACAGGTCAGGTAATTTGAGACTCATTTTCCTTTGTCTGCAAGCAGGAGCAGGCTTTTATCAGCTTGATCCAGCGCTATCTGTGTGCTCCATGCCGCCCATCTGTGGCAGGAGGGGATTCCAGCTGGATATTTCTCTCCATTTCTGGTTCCTCTATCACAAGCTCTTGTTTGGGGTGCTAGTCACCCTTTAAAAGAGCAAAGCTGCCTCTATCAGAAAGTTACCCAGCTGATCCCAGGGGTCTTTCACTAAGCAAGAAGGTGACAACTCAAATTTCCTCTCAGCCTATCTTTCTGCAGATGGGGAAGTCTAGGAAAGGGAGAGGAACGTGTCTATTCCTGGGCCTTGTGTCTCTTTCCTGTTGCTACAGATGTTACAGCAAATTCGATGACCTTTTTCATGAAAGAGAAAACGAGGCTGATAGCAAGTGATGTGGGCTGATGGAGCCTGCTTACTTGTGTCCTGCAATGGTGGATGAGATTAAATGTCCCACTGCCTCTGCCACATCTCTTTACCAACACTACACGAAATGAGGCAGTTCAATGCCTTAGTGCTGAGCAATCAGTGCTGTCATCGCTGCTTTTATGCCCAGGGTTCAAGCTCCTGTCCCTCCCACGTTGCTGCTAAATTTCCTTAGAAGCAGAGCCTGGTGTGGAGGGGGTAAGATGGAAGAGGCAGCATTATACAGCCAGTGACAAGCTCATTGTGTGTCCACACATTTTCACAAGCTCTTACAGTTTTTGGCCTTTGAGTAGAGTTGTTGTTCTTAAACCATCTTGCATCCATGAGCCTGGAGATGGGGTAAGAGTGAAAAAGCAGTCGATAAAGGTCTCTTCCATTGTTTGGGAGGCCAAAGGGCCATTATCTAGACTGAAGGTTAGACTTTTGTTCTGAAAGATACAGGATTTTTTTTATTTCTGGAAAAGCAAGTGATCTTTATGCTTTCTTTATCTGCTTCCCACATGAGGGTAATGATAGACATGCCTAACCACTTAGACTTGGACTGAGACCATCAATCCATATTGTAGACAGCAGAGAGTGGCAAGTAACTAATAAAAAATTCTGGTTACAGTGATCCTGGGATGGATTTGACCTCTGCATCACCTTACAAAACCCACACTATCATGGTTCTCTCCTGCAGTTATTCTAATGAGCTGAAAAAACGGGTTTGGATATACTTTCATAGTGTTGTTGAGGCATAAATACACTCTAAGTGAGAACTACATAATGTTTTCCTGTTTGTGCATAAAAAATAATGGAGCAGTAAGCCAGTGACCCAGAGGTGAAAGCCTTTGCTTTCCATATTGCCAATTTATTACACTTGCAAAATTTAAGTATACAACTTAATTCCAGTGCAGTTATAGAGCTTCAGTGTGATTCCTCTAGTCTGTTTTTCAGTAATTTAGTTTCTAAGCACTCCCTTTTCAGTTTGGTGGTCTGCCATAGAACAACCATCCATGTCTCTTACTGTTGCTGGGAGCTTCTTGTTCCATAATCACCGATGAATGGTCATTCCCATCTGTGTGTCCTAGGAGAGATGGTGCAGTTGGTCTGCCCTGGTGGTTGGACACTCCAGGGATGTTTCTGCAGATCTGGATCACACATACCCTGGCTGAGGCCAAACTCCCAGACTTTGCAGTGCTTGAGTCCCTGAGCTATTCCTACAGACATCAGCCATCAGCTTTAAGGGCCAGGTGGAAATTAGTCAATGGCTTAGTTTTATTTGGATCAGGGGGAAAACAGAAATCAAGCTGCAGTATTTCTTCCTGCTATTTTTCAGGCATAAATGTCTGTGCATAGCTGTAAAGCATACATGCAATAAGCCTAATACTTACAGAACACCTTGGACTTGCAATGCGCATGCTGGACATGTTCCCAGGTGAGTCCTGTGTGTGCCTGGTGTTTGCTGCAAGAATTGGGTGTACTGCTTTCACAGCCTGGGACTATGGAGCATGTTCAAGTCTGTCATTTCCAGGGGGAAACAGGCTTTTTTCTCATCATTGTGCCACACATCTGATCTGTTCAAGCAACATGGAAACTTCTGTAATTTCCAGACCCGAGGCAGGTGACTGGATCCCAAGTCTGAGTGGATTTGACATACATCAGAAATTAAGCAGAAATGTAAAAATCCTTTACCTTTTTATTTTTCCCCCCAGAAGAGAAAACAAATTACTCTAGACAGACTAAAGCTCTAGCACAGACAATAGCTAGGAGGCCATGGCCATGACTTTGCTCACAATCAGCAACACATTTTTGCTGCGACCCTGGGAACGGGGGGCATACAGCTTTCTCTAAGCCACTAGTCCTTGTTTTTCTCCTCTGTTCTCTGAAAAATTTGTCACACTGCAGACTGGAAAACATAGGCGTGGTGGTACAGTAGGTAAAATTATGCCGCAGGCTTTGGATTGAGGCAACTTTTACCCTCAGGTTTTAGGAAAAAGCATCACAGATGGACGTAGGAGTGGGTTCACTGGACTAACTGAGAACTGGGTCACCTTGCAGTGGAGGAAAGATGTCAAATTTAACACACCAGTGGTCTGTTTCTGCATGACAAATAGCCTCTGTTCTTGAACTACAGGAGTAGAACCAAGTTAATAACTCTGCAGAAGAGAACCACCTGAAAAGAAAATAAAAATATTCCGAACGACCTATAGTTTGGTAGATAGTTAAAACCATATCATGTCTTCAGGATAAATATTGCATTTAATTACACAAATTACATTACATTTCTAACCTTTTGGAACCCTTTCTTCATTGAAAGATGGAAAAATAATAGAAGAGGAAAGAAGCCAGATCTCGCATGAATTAACTACCTACAAGTTTCTTCTGTGTGGGTTTGCAAATGGTAGACTCTGTAATCATAGACCCTGTTGGGTAACTTCTCATTGTGGTTGATACAGCATAAGCATGTGTACCTCAGTGAAACTGATGGCTCCTAGATATTCAAATTTCAGTTTTATACTGTCCAAACACCATTGCTGTAAACAGTATTACTTTAGTTGTTGTTAATATAACACTCTAATGTAATCATTATTTACCTGTCCCATGTCCTTCCAGCAGCAGCTCTGGGTAGACATGTCTATGCAATTAGAATTAACGCAAACCACTTAAAACTTGAATGCCTAGTTTATTTTCAAATGGGAAGGTCAGCATCATTATCCTTGGTGGATTCAATTACCAAATCCTGCATAATCACAGAGCATGCTTCCTGTCTGCTAATCATGACTCGCTCTGCATACATTATGTGCAAATATAACCAAAACAAGAGATGGCATTTCCATGTGTTTTATGCCTGTAATTACTTCTTACAGGTTGCATTTAACTTTCTTAGTATAATGTAAATTCCTTTTATTGGCTTTGTTTTTTAAAAAAACACAAAAGAATAATAAAAACCAGTGGCAAGCAAAACCAGGAAAGCATCTGTATGCAATTAATCCTTCTGCTTCATTTAGACCCCAAAGAATCTGTGAATGTAAGTCACAACAGTAGAAAAAAGTTGTCAGAGACATTGCATTTGGAATCACCTCTCACAAAGAGCAGCATGTGTAATTAATGGCTTTGGACTTAATTTGTTGGTTTTGGTTTAGTTTTGCTTAAGGAAGAGAATTCTAATAAACTTGTATTCAACATTTTTTTATTATTGAAGTGTTCATCGCTATTGTAAACAAAAATCCTAATGACAAGAATAGGGACAATTAACACACAATAAAAAATACAGTCATCTAATTAAATATAAACATCCTCTAATGAGAGAAATTGCATTCTTGTATGGAGAGCTTGATCTATAACCAATGTGAAATCAACAGGTGTCTTTCCAAGAGCTCAGTCGGTTTTGAGTGAGAGCTGGTAAATATGTGCCTTCTCTGTGCTGTGTATGGTGCTTTAGAGGGTTAGAAGCTGGTAATTCTTTTTTCTTGAAAATATCATTTTCCAATGCAGCCACTTTGGATATTTGCATGTATGTACATGCACACACATGCACAGGCACACTTTGTGGAGCTTGGAACTCTAAAGTTTGCTTCATTTTCTGCCTAAGATTCTTGTTCCCCTGACATCCGCAGGGCATGTGAACATCATCCCTTTTGTAACACTGTGGTAATATGCCATCTGGATGGAAAGTATCATATCTTAATAGTAGAGCACAGCAGATCTCCAGTTTCTACCTTGTCATGACAGCTTTTGTGAAGATTCTATCACACCTGGTTTTATTCTTTCTTGACACGTGGAAGCTTTATCATCCCACAAACAGCAGGGAAACCAGCTCCTGTGTTTGACCAACATGAAGAGGTGCTGTATCACCAGACTCTGGTGGTCCTCTCTCCCCAAAAGGTCCCTGTTCTTTGGGGATTGCTCTGAAGCCAGCCAAGATACCAGGCTCTCTGCCTGTGGGAGATGTGACACCGCAGGCATGGCCCCAGCACTGCCACTGGATTCTTACCAAAGTAGTTGAGATGCTATGTCCCCACATACCACCCAACACGTGAGGACAGTTGGTCTTCGCGCTTTCCACAAGAGGCCCACTCACCATTAAGAAGCAGCCACATGCTGGGAATTCAGGTGGGCTGAGAAACAGGCTGTGCTCAGTGTTGCTCTTTTGATGACCCATCACAGACAAAGAAACCCTGATGTCAGGACTGAAATGCAGAACCATAGAGTTCGGAAATGCTCTTACTGACTTGCCTCATGGAAGAGCAAGGAAATGGTGATGACACTGCTGTGGATTACAAAGTGCAGACAATGCAGCTGTTATGTGTGAAAATAACTAGTAATATTATTCTGAGAAATTACTTTTAAGAATTGTTATAAACAGGTTTATATTTTTTACCTTTTGAAATGCTTTATAAACATGTTCTTAGGCCAAAAAGTTCAACCACTAAGAGGACAAAAACCTCTCAAACAAGCAAGACAAGGACTTTTTTATTAAAAGGATTTTAAATTTTTAAGCTTTTATATACACTTTAGGTTTTATGAAATTCTCTCTCTGCATTTATCTAAACAATTTTATTTGTCGTTTCCTGAGATGTGGTTGTAAGCTCAAGCTAACAATGATTGAATCTTTTAAGTGAATCTCCTTTGGCAAGAGAATTTCACTACGTTTTAAATGTACCACAGAGAGTCAGAGGCTACCAAGTCACAATTAGCAGAATTAAGTGAACATCAGAGATGACATTTTATAAGACTACACTCTTGCATGCCATCAATATTTCAAACATTCTGAGAGCTGAACATAGGGGAAACTTAGAAATCAATGTGGAATGGAACAGGACTGATTCTGGGTTTACTTTCTCTCAGGTTTAGACCAATATAATTGTACAGATTTTGGTGGTACCGCTTCTCATTGCAGTAAGGTAGTTTAGATGAGAATCAAACTCATTAGCTGTGGGATTTTGCATATTGGAGAGTGGGACCATGCTTAGCATCTAACATTAGATCATGTTCCTTTTTCCTTTAAAGAGTAATCATGTGAAATTTCCACCAGGTAGTATCACTACAGTGTGCAAAGACTTTCATTGCAAAGGAGTTTCCAACATGTCAATAATTTTTCTGGCCCATAGTAGGAGACCCCCTAAAGCTTTACAGTCTAAATTATTCCCAGCTTCAAAGAATTTCAGAGAAGAGCTTTGGCAGCTCTTGGGAGAGATTAATTCTAGGGTGGGATTTGACTCCTCCACCTTCAGATGTTTCAGAGTAGTTTTCTGCATGTGAGTACATCAACTAAACTCCTGCAGTTAGTGGAGGAGCAAAATAGACAATTCTCAGGTGTGATTTCTCTGACCTGTTTTAGATGTCTACCTTGAGATGGGATGAATCGTGCCCCAGAAGCACCTTCCTTTCCACTAAAGTGAATATCAAAGGACCAGCTCAGACATGGAGATGTACTTTGTAGATGTCTAAAGATAGAAGAGATGAATCTTGTACAAACCTGCCAAACTTGTAGTCTTCTGCGCATTACAACTAAACTGAGATGGATAATCTCCTTTAAAACCTATGTTTTAAAATGGTCTGAAAACCCCTCTAAGGAAGATGATGTGAGTTCCTGTAGCAAATGAAAGCAAAACAGAGCTTTGCTGCTGCATAACACTCAACCTGGGCTGCGATTTTACAAGCTGGAGTGATATGACAGCAAGCAGAAAGTTTGTCATTGTAATTGTGCTTTATTTTCCCCCCAACTTCTGAACTTTCCAGGAGGGCTCTTCTTGGGGTCTGTGGTCCTGTTTTTGTGACCCTTGTCTGAAGGCAGCTCCTACTTTGTTCAAGATCATTAGTCTTGTCGATGGTTAGTGATGTTTCTTACCCTCCCTCTCCCCCTCCTCATCAGCTTGCAGTGCTAGCTACTGCTTCTGGCTGCTTTCATACTGACTCCGGACGGGGCCATCTAATTCAGTCATGACTGTGAAGCTGCTGTATTAATATCAGTGACAAACAGATGTTGGTGCGGTGCCTTGAGAAGGTGAAAAATTCCCTGCAGTTATTTCACGGTGAGATCAGCAAAGCCCTCTTTCCTCTGGTGTCATCCTGTTCCCTCCAGCCCTTGGTGCTCAACATGGTGTTGGGTATCCATCTGGCTTCGCTCATCTCACTTTCACAGTGGGGTCAGGCCATTTCTTCTCAGCAGGGGGCTACTTTTGATCCTACATTGTTGTGAAAGGAAGGCAGGATGGGGCTTGGTTACAGCATAATATGTTTTTCTACCGGTAAGCAATCATCTAAAGAGAATGAGATCGTTGTGGGAAGGTTGGATCACAGAACTTCCCTTGCTGGGGTTAAAAAAGAGCAACTCAAGCTGCTTGGACAGAGCAGCTTATGATTTAATTACACTTCATATTTTGGATAATGCTGCATATAGAGCTTTATTATACATAGACCCAAGAGTCAGGGTCCCTCTGCAGATTCTAGGTACCTGCCTGCTACCCTTGTCTGGTCAAGAGCATTTCCAGCTAGTCAGTCAGTTTCACCTTCAGGG